GAATCATGTGCCCAGCACATACCGATCACAGACCGGACGATAGAGAAGCTGGCGACGATAACTATAAATGGAAAGATGGAATATTGCTGTTAGGGTCTGGCGATAGGAATGGGTAATTAGTGGGCAGTAGTGGGGTCATTAATGAGGTAGGCGTAGCAGTCGTTCATGGGGAAGAGATATGTGTTCAGTTTTTTTTTTTTTTTAGCAGAGAGGGTAGCGGAAAGGTCTCATCCTTATCTGTGTCAGGTGTAGGGCGGAGGTGTTGTTGTTATAGATTTAGCTACTCGAAACAAGTTCCAAGTAGCACGGGCTATGGTGAGCCCGTAACTTACCTGGCACAGGAGCGGGGCAAGTAGCACGGGCTATGGTGAGCCCGTAGTGGACTTACCTGGCACAGGAGCGGTGCTGTAGTGGAGGTGATTAGCCTGAAGAGGTGGAGTTCCGCGAGCAGGAGAGATGTGTTGTGGGTGATCCACTTACCGCACTCATACGTCTTCTGAATGTTGATCTATTCCCGCTTCTTCTATTTCTTCTTTTTCCTCCCTTCATCCTTCTCTTTTTTTCTCTCCTTTCACTTTTTCCTTCTTTACTCTCTTCCTCCCATTGGCTCCCTTTCATCCTTCCCTTCATCACCCGTTGTTCCCTTTACCACCCTTCCTTTGATCCCCTTCCCTCCATTTCTACCATAATCGCCACCTCCCTTTTCTTTGTAATCCTGCTCTCTCTTCCTTCCTCGCTCTTCTCCTCCCCTGCCCTTGCTCGCCTCATCCTACTGTGAAGTAAATGTTTCATCTCTAACGCGACATTCAGTAGAGTTCAGTATAAAACCCGCGAGACGCAGTGTAACACGGGTTTGTGTCCTCTCTCTTTTCTACCTTCTTACCCTCTACCCGTATTCTTACTTTTATTTCTAAACCAAGGGACTCCAAAACTTTTAACAAGCCAACTCCACGCCACGTGGTCCTAAGACGATTGACCGACTTAGGATTCTACACCCAGTATGACGTGACCTAAGCTCTGAACAAAACCCTAGAGTCACCTCTGCTGCCACCACCAGACCAGTAATACAAGAGCAATGATCGAGGTCTGGATCGATCACGCTAATTAATCAACCTAGGGGCTTGATCCCCACTATAAACGATGACCTTGAGTGTGGAATAAATTACACGGTAATGATAATTCCGATTCGATGTTAGAATCGGCGCCCAATGCAACTCTGCCTCGTGTGGACCACGTGACCAGGACAAGTATACACATAAAACACATGGAAACAATAAAATGCAAATTAATAACAAATTTAATTTATTAAAAGAAAACTAAAACAAAATCTAAATGTGTTCACTCCCTATCACTTTAACACTCCCTACTTGACCTGAATGGCAAATGAGAAGACTATTTCTATACATAACAATAGCAACTATACCTTGGGCGACCAGCTAGATGTTTTGGCTGGTCTTGGGGAGAGGTAAGATGTTTGACCTCTTATCCCAGCTGCTCCCGTTTCCACACTGATCTCTTCCTTGTCTGGTCTCCCCAGACAGAACATTGTATCCTTCCGCCTAGTCAAAGTTCTACCCAGTTACTAGCAAGGTTTAAGTTATAACAATTAAACTCTGTTGTACTTAATTGATCCAGACTGGTTGAATTATTTTACTGAATTAGATTACACAAACATCTAACGGCAAAGCTGTTCCCGATCACAAAAATGGTTATTAAAACTTTGAGAAATATTAGACATGTCAACCCTGCTGACCTATGACCGCCGGTCACTCCGCCTTAAAAGTTAGATCTGATTCGTGACGTCACTGATGGTGACTTAAACTCAATAATTAGAATACTCTTGATATTGTATCCAGTACTATTATACAATACAATTTTAATGCAAAATGAATAAAGGCTAATTTTCTCTAAATTACTGAATACTATAGGATGATTCATTATACGCAGCTATGAACAAAGCGTCGGTTATTTCCACCGCGAATTCCCCTGGGGGTCAGGTCACCATGCGGCTCAGCTTCCCATTCTCTTTTGTCGATAAACCACTCTGGATAATTCTTACAACAGCCTAGTTTGTTACAGCAGTGTCCTCTTGTATATCTTACGGTGAGTAAATGTGGGCCACCATCTATGACTTCTTAAACTCCAGAGTTACCACAGAACTCCACTACGGGCTCACCATAGCCCGTGCTGCTTTGGAACTCTTGTTCCGAGGAGCTGAATCTTAAACAACAATAATACCACAGAACTCATCTGTTGTTGTTAAAGATTCGCTACTTAGAACAAAAACTTCTAAGTAGCACGGGCTATGGTGAGCCCGTAGTGGACTTAAGAACTCATCATACATCAATCATCAACGGATGTAAATTATCAAGCGTCCGTCGCTGTAGGCTTGGCAAGTTGCTCGTGAAGGGGGAGGGAGGGAATTCTTCACATGTATGTTCTGTATAGGTATTCCACATGTGAATGTATTGTATTCACGTGTGTTTTGTGAAGAGAAGGTTGAGGAGAAGAGGTGGTTAGGTAATAATGTTACTAATAAGTAATAATTATGTTGAGTAATTACCCCGGGAGCTTTCCTGACATCTGGAATTTGCATATAGCTGGAATTCTAGTGCTTTTTCACTTTCAACTGCTGCTCTGGTTGAAGGAAAACTTGTAATTATTTTTGAAGAAAAAATGTTTAAGATAGAAATATATTTTTCTGGTAAAATTTTTAAATTTAATCTAACTATATCCTTTAAAGTATAGTTACTCGAGTACATTAGGTGTACTTACTGTGCAGGCACACAAGCGCGCACCCAAGCGTGCTAAAAGTCTAATGTAACAGCCCATCCCTCCACAAGAAGTAATCCCATAATATATATGCACCTGCAAACTTCACTACACCCTACAAATGTAGAAAATATTTGCATAAAACACGCCAGACGCTTGTTTGCCTTCCAAACAGTCTTTTAACAAGATTATGCAAATTCCCGTACAAGCGTTCGCTAACCACCTAGCCGCTCCCCCCCACTGTAGCAAATGACCAAACATAATTAGTATTCAAAATTATACCTCTTGTACTAACATTAGATACCTCCGGCTAATTAGAATCTCCTCTCCCCTGCCCTATGAATATCCCAGCACCATTATTATTTTTTCTCTTAACACGATTCTGGGAATTCCTGTTGGCCTCTACGAGAGGGTGAGTAAAAGGAGGGAGACTATTCAGGGTATTCTTGCCCATTTTCACAACTCTGGCTTTAAGCAATTTGGTCATGTTATCTATTCTGCGTATTTATCGCCATCTTTGGTGTTATTACCAAGAAATTAGGCAAATTTTACGAATTCTGGTAATTTATAAGTTGGATGTTTGTGAAGACTTAATCGTCTTCGAGTATGACCTGTGCATCAGTACTCCAAGTACACATTATATATATATATATATATATATATATATATATATATATATATATATATATATATATATATATATATATATATATATATATATATATATATGTCGTACCTAGTAGCCAGAACGCACTTCTCAGCCTACTATGCAAGGCCCGATTTGCCTAATAAGCCAAGTTTTCATGAATTATTATATTTTCTCAAATTTTTTTCTTATGAAATGATAAAGCTACCCATTTCATTATGTATGAGGTCAATTTTTTTTATTGGAGTTAAAATTAACGTAGATATATGACCGAACCTAACCAACCCTACCTAACCTAACCTAACCTATCTTTATAGGTTAGGTTAGGTTAGGTAGCCAAAAAAGTTAAGTTAGGTTAGGTTAGGTAGGTTAGGTTGTCGAAAAACAATTAATTCATGAACACTTGGCTTATTAGGCAAATTGGGCCTTGCATAGTAGGCTGAGAAGTGCGTTCTGGCTACTAGGTACGACATATATATATATATATATATATATATATATATATATATATATATATATATATATATATATATATATATATACATGCAACCATGATATAGGCAATTTATAGTGTGATACATTATAAGTTGCCTATAGTGTTTTATTCTATAGAAAGAAAAAATCATGGAGGAACAAGAATGTAATATATAATCCCAATTTATTTTTATGATATTACACACTTTGTAGTAGCATTGGGGGGTAGCATTGACAGTGTTGAGAGGAACTTGTTCTACTTACAGCAACTACCACCTGTACGTGACCTCGAACAGGCAGATAATAATTCTAATCTATAGATATAGATATGGTTTAATATAAACAGCATTAAATGATTTTAAAATTGATGCAAAAATCTGTCATTGCTTGAGACTTGGTAAGTTTTATTTCTTCTTTTTATTCATTATATTTTAATTTATTGCTGTATTCGTGTTTTCAATTACCTCTTTTGAGCTGCAATTATTTTTTTACTGAGGCTAT